GCAAAAGTTGAATATGGAAGCAGTGAGGATCTAAGAAAAGTGACAACAGAACAGGTGGAAGTTTATAGGGGCACAAGATAATTATACGGCAGTCTGACGGTCCACCAAATTTACTCTCCCCCCCCCATAACTCCACTTTCCTTTTTCTAAGACACAACAAAGCTTTTCCAACGGCGAGAAAAGATGAAAAAAGGTTTATCATACAAATATAGCTCAGTCCACTCGGCTGAACATGCTACAATGGATTTTGGAGAAACACAAAAAAGTAATGCAACACTATCCAAATGTTTCAACATTAAAGCAGGCTCTATAAGGGAAACGTACCAGGAGATCCACCCAAGCACTAGCACCAACAAGGACAGAGAATCCCAAAAGCACCTGAAAGAAAGGGAAAAGAAGCAATTACATTCTTTTACTAGAAGTAGGATCAAGATCACACAAGGGAAGTAAAACTTTAGTGCAATGGGAAATCCACAAAAGCAACCTTTTTTTCTTGGTTGAAACATGAAATTGGTTTGAAATAGAAACTAGATACTTGAAGAACAGTAAGAGAAAAAAGGATAGAATGAATAGAGGCACTCACCCAGGGTAAGTAAGCTGCTGTAAAGGTAAACAGACCCAGGAAACTCATATGTATAAAAGGATTCTGTTTGCTCCACACATAAACCTACAACATGTAGTACAATAAAATGGATTCCAAAATGGATACCAGCATATGCTACTGGTAAACCATATTTTGCAGGTAAATGAAGGCAGACATACTTACCATCATGAATGTCAATGAATTGCTTAGAAATATGATATTGGCAAATGATGCCGACAGATAAGGTATCATTCCTCCAATAAGAACTATGCCGGTTAAGACAGATGCTCCAAACAAGAGCATGTAAAAGAAATCTGCAGTCCTTCCCCTGAAAGAGTTCTCTTCAAGGAGCTTGCAGTACCGAGCAAGAAAGAACATGTGAAACATGAAATCCAAATCTGGCATTACCAAAGAATACAGTGTTAAAGATTTAAAATAATTTGAGAACATACCGATTTCAATCATATTCAAAGTTATCACCCATACATGCCTAGAACACTATCAATTTCAAAGATGTTTAAGGTCATTGGTGGAATAAACTAAGGAGAAAGGAAACAGAAAGGGCAGGAAGAGGTGCATAGACTATGGACTCAGTTCTTCTTTAAAAACAATTTTATACCTCATTTCACTTTTACCTACTCAAAATTATCTAAAACACAGCTGCATTTGCATACTTTTCACTAAAATTGAAGGCAGACATAAAAGAAATAACACTCTTTTGTTCCATTGGGAATACATCTTTAGCAATAACATGCACAACATTCTACACAACATTGTTCTGAAGGCATGATAAACCAGATATTTCACGACACTCAGACATAAAAGCACATGAAATTTACCCATCTTGCGGAAGTACAGAAAGTTAGTAATGAGGCGCCAGAGCTGGTACTGCTTAACCACGAGCTTGGGGTTCAAGTACAGATGATAAGGTGATATTATCTGCAAAGATTCAGAAAAATAAATTATATTAGCATAACAATCTGAAATATATCATAAATTCTTTTTAAATGGACATGGAAAACTAATAATACCCAATTGTCTATTATACTCCAAAAAGATCAGATAAGAGGAACAAACTACTACTTAGTTTTGCCAGCTCAAATTTCCAACTAAGTTTCTCAAGAAATAAAATTTCGAAACATGAATAATAAAATGAAAAACCGTGTGGCAAATCACAACAGGGTCGCCAAATTTACAAAATTGAGACGAGCACAAATCAAATCTGCAGAAAATATTCATATCCCTTTGCATATAAATGAAAAGGGAAGCAGTAATTAATCAATGGAAATTAAAGGCACAATTTCAATCCTATTGCTCAGATAGAGAAAAACAACATCAAAACAAAAACAAAAGCAATAAAAACATATTCTAATAAAAGAAAAAGAGACATACTTCGAGAGAACAACCGATAGTGGTAACTACGGCAGCTGTAAGGTACGAACGGGTGATGATAGGCATCTGCTTATACCATTCTTCAACAGCTTGAGCCATTTTCTTTTTCTTCTTCTTTTTAACACAGAAAGTTCTCTTTAATTCTAACAATAACAAAATTGAAACAAGATAAATTAAAGGCCAATTCGATGATATCTCCAATTCGATTTTCTGGGATTTGGGGTTCTTCAGGATTGAAACAGAGATTAAAGAACACCCAAAACGAAGAAACGCGAGGTGGAACAAAAAGTATAATGGACAATAATTGGTTTCGCTGTATACTTCGCGTCTTGTTTAATGACAAATCCTGACGAATCAGAGAGCGTGTGGTTGTCACGGGCCAATCACATTGCATTCGATGCCCAATAAATAGTAAACCATGGCATAATCCTGAATATTTAAGTAAAAAAGAGTTATGTGCAAACCATGGCTAAATTATTTATTTGCAAAGAAAAGGGTCTAATTAAACATATTTCTAATTAGTAATTAAAAAAATATTTCCCCTTTTTAATGTTTCTTTTTACACATTTAATTCTTTCTAAGAAAGATTAATATACTTATATTTAAAATATTATATATACATTAATAATTTATTTATTAAAAAAATTATATTAAATAAAATTTGAGATACTAGAAAAATGTATAATCTAATATTATAATTGTTCATTTTCTCTCTTAAATCATGTGATCAAAGTTTGATCTTTATTCATAGAAATAGAGTTCATTTTGAACCATAAAATGATCTCAATATTTAAGGAAAATGTTGTTATCTCTAAAATATTTAGATTTAAACAGCTGCGTCTATAAAATTATTATTTGATATATTGACAACAAATTTTTTAACTACAATATATATATATATATATATATATATATATAATTTTAAAATACCAATATGTTCAAATTTCTTAATTCCACTTGTAAAATTTAAAAAATAATAATACAATCAATGAATTAAATATTTAATGATGTGTTGCTCAAGGATGGTTCGGCAGTCTCAATTGCTGTTGAAATTCCCTGCATGCTGCAGCGTTGTGTTGGTTGTCACGTTTTTGGTCATTCAGAAAACTAATGTGATCAGAAAATGGTTGTTTGAACTAAGCAATGGGAAGTTTACTGAGGTTGGAAAAAAAGCTCTGAAGAGGTTGGTGCGGTGGATCGGGTCAATAGGATGGTTTCCCTTGGAAAGACTGTTGATGTTGCTAATAAGAGTAATGCCAAGTCTACTGTGTCTTCTCAGGTTGAGAGAGAAGGCTCGCCTAGGAAAACTCATAGGGTAAAACTGTTTTAATCAGTTGTGAGAGAAAATATGAGCTATTGAATGATGAATCTAAGAAAGATGACAGGGTGGATGTTGCTAGAATTTGATTCAGAGTCTGAAACAGAATAAAAACAGGGCAGGGACGGGAGAAAAGAATATTGTGGGTGCTACCACAGGTGGAGGTACGTATGGCTTCTAGCTCATCTTCATGAAGTTGCTTGTCTGGATTCTGGAATTTTAGAGGGTTGAATCATCACCTAAAGCAAGCTAATGTAATTGGTAGATGTAGGTCTAATATGTTTTTTTTTTATATATATAGAAACTAAGGGTTAAAGAGAATAAGGAAGAAGAAATTTGGATTAAATGGTTTAGGGGATAGAATGGTGTTCATAACCATGGTTTTGCTGTAAATGGTAGGCTGTGGCTGTTGTGGATAAATTATTATTATTTTTTTGTACAGGTTAGGGTGGTTGGTACAGCTGATCAAAGCATTACTTGCTTAGTTAGTTATAACAACCAGCAATTTTATATTCTTGGATTTTATTGGTGGCAATTGTGGGATTGAGACAAGGGGATTATTGTCTCATCTGTTAGCTCTTAAAAAGGTAATTGGTGATGTGCCTTGGCTTCTTGTAGGTGATTACAATATCATTTCGCATCATTCTGAAAGTTCTAACTGTTCTGGTTTGCGTTCTCTTTCTGTTGATATGGAAGATTTTCAAAGATGCGTTGACTGTATCCAAGTCTCGGATCACGCATGCAGTGGACCTGTATTTGCATGGAGAAACCATCATTTTGGAGATTCCTTATCAACTCCTTGGCTGAATAAATGAGTTCATAATTTCTCCAAGATTTTCTATTTCTATAAATGTAGGCTTGTGAGGTTTGTTAAAGGAGGAAGAGGAATGAAACAGGGGACCCCCTAACCGTGTGTTATCCATGAATGTTCTGTCCAGATTATTGGATATTTCTGCTGAAAAGAGAGTATTTAGATATCATCCAATATGCCACAAAGTTGAGCCATCTCATCTTCTAATGGATTACGATTTGCTTATTTCTATTAAGAACACCTTCGACTTCAGTGACGGATACATGGATGATAATGGAACACTAAATGATAAGGTGGGGGGATTAGAGATGATTTTTTATGCTTGTATACTCAACATATAGGTTGTATTCACAATTGTCTCATGTAGCAGTGTTTTTTGCTTTACTGGATTAAATGAAATCATTTATCCATAAAAATATTGACTAAAATAAATAAGCCTGTCAAAACCTATTTCTATACTTCCAGGGAATCAGCAGAAAACTCATACTTGAACAAAAGAAAGCCAGAATTATTCGTTTCTTTTCCTAGACTTTAAGTCGACAAATAGGATCCGAGCACGAATATTAGCACTAAAAAAGGGCTGTAATTTCAGAAGATTGTAGTAACTGAAGATGAAATTTTAGATTTTCAACTCTCCCTTCAACAAGCTTCTACTAATAAGGCAACAATGATGTTTGGCCCATGCCAAGTTATACTTTAAACAAAGGCATGACATATGCTTGCCCGAGACAAAGCTTGATCATGTTCATTTTCTAATAAACAAACTGATGAAACAACTTCTAATTGTGGAAAGTGTCAGATAAACCAACTCTTCGATCACATAATGAATGAAGAAATCAACAATGATCTCCCCTAAAGAAAGCTGCAAACTGCTATGTCACATACAAATTAAAAAATTTTGCATGCATCGTGAACCATTCCAGTTCTACTTTTGGTTCTGCTTACATCACTCAACTGGAAAAGTCACTAACCCTCTGAAACATGCCAAAACCATCTCTTTGTGTTCTCCTGGAGGAAAAACAATCCTACGAACAAAGCATTCTCCTAACGGATTGGGTGATATTGAGCGGATACCCTCTTTGGAGGCAACTTACGCAAGATGTACAGAACTAGAGCTGAAGGTAGGATCTCAACCAACTGCAATTTTATCAACAAAAATGCATGTTTAGGAAGATGCAAGTGTGAGAACAGAACTACAGAGTAAACTGGAATCGTGAAATACCATGTAATAGATCAAGTTCAAAACTGGATGATCCAAAACATCAAGTGACACATCCACATCAAAGGCAGATAAAATAATCTGCATTTAGAGAAATTAGGAGGAAAAGAAAAGCACATAAAGCAGTAGGAAAATGTCTACCAAATAAATGAACAAATCAGTGGCACAATGTTATTTTTTTCCAAATGATTGATGGAAAGTGTTTTTGTTCCTCAATTGTTGTCAAGCTAAAAGAGTCTAGGCCAAAGATCACCATCTTACATAACTTGTTTTATGAGAAACAGAAATTACTCGTAGCATTCAACATTGTGATCAATTACTATAGCCAGGACAATCTATGTCAAAACCAGAGAAGAAAGAACTCTGGTGAAGCCTGGCCTCATGCCTCTCCTCTCTCTCTCTCTCTCTCTCTCTCAAAGGGCAAATCCACATCTTTTTACTTACATCAGATATTCAATCGTTCACACCTATTCCTGGGAGTACTTAGTGAAATGGAAACTATATGTGTGTCTTATACATATCATTAGCAACAATGTCTAAAAAAACTCCAGGAAAGTTCAAGCTTTCAATTTAAAAGAAAAATAAATGGAATAAACACATCATGAAGTGTGGAATTTTTCCTTGGAAAGTATTGTTTAAAGTCTTTTACCTCATTTTAATCTTTTTTCCCCCTAAAAAAAAAGGCTAAAAAATACATCTCTCAGAGGTTCCCTCACAGGTGAAGCATGTGGAGTGTCTAAATGCATGCATGCTTGAGAGCTCAGATTATTAGTTTGCCCAATATGCAAAATCAAATGGACTGTCATCTGTTGAGAACAGACACTGCTGTATGAGTTACATACAAGAGACATATCAAACATGTAGTAGTTTAAAGAGCAACATTTTCCGCCAAGCAATAAATCGTATAGCTTGAAAACATGTCACAAAGTTTGGTCAAGAAATAAAACGTACCACAAAGCACCTAATAAGGAAGCAGGTGAAACAAATGGCTGTAACAGATCCGACCTACAAACAGAAGCGACATCAATCAAATAAACAATAGTAATGTTGATAACATCGCACAATAATGATGTCATGCTAAAAGCCATGTGATTAGCACATAGAAATGCATGTTAAACTTTTTAGTTATGTCATACTTTTACCGAAAACGAATTTCTATTTAAAAGAACCATATAGGAAGGAAAATACCTCATGAAGCTTCTTCCTTCTTCCTTTTGATTCAATAGGGAATCGTCTTAGCATGAAAAATAATCTGGAAAGAGTTGAGTAGTAGTATTTGGTCATTTTAGAAATTCAAACTCCAATTATTCACAAATATTGTGTTAACAAACCATAATTACCTTCCTCCATACAACAAGAATCCTAATGCGGCTATAAATGACACCACTGGAGAAAACAATAACGAATAAGTGTCAAGAGTTAAAGAAATAAGACTTAAAAGAACATAAGATTTCCATTAAGAAGAATGAACAATACCCAGAGATAAACCTTGCGAACTTTTTTGATGAATCACTGTAACACTTACCTGCAATAAATATTTTTCCAATGAATTCCACCACACTGTTGTCATCTATCCAGAGGTATACCCAGACACAGACCTGAAGTCAAAACATCATTTTTAACTTTACTAGCACATTTAAGTATGTGTTAGAGGCAGAGCTATACTGGCAGGAACCTTGGAGATAAAAACTCAACAGAGAAATAAGTTAGCATATATAATTATTTCCTTCACACATTAACCTAGTATTAACGACAGTTATTTGCAAAGTAAACAGCACAAGAGAAGGCAAGTTGGAACACACCTGTATAATGTAAATAACAGCATTGATTGACACATAAAAAATTCTCAGTTTATCCGTTGGTAAGCTTCTTGCCTGCTCATCATGGCAAGGCAAAATGTCACCGTTCCTCACGGACAAGCCAAATTTGACATCATTTCACAAGAAAACAATTAAGAAAATGTTCTTGCCTGATGGTAAATCTCCGCCCAAAACAGGACAAGTAATGTGTATGTGGAGAAAAATAGAAGGCCGGGAAGATCCAACAGTATAAGTGTGAGTACCTAGTTCAAGAAGTTACAGCCCACATTAGTATCAACACTTGTCTGGATTAGATAATAATAACTTAGTTATACAGTCCTTATTCTCTCAGAATAGCATCCTCCATTATTTCCCTTATGCAACCCAAGAAACCTTAATTTCTATGAGGAATTCAAACAAGAAAGACCTAGATTATGAAGCAGAAAGAGTGGAACGAATTTGCTAATCACGCCCAACTATGAAATGTAATCTTATCGGTTATCTCATTTCAAAAACAATGTAAGCTTTGTTTCAGACAAGTGCTAGACCATCTGAACCCATATCTTTGATCCTATAGCAAACTAACCTTGGGATGCAATAGAAATACTTGTTTGTGAAATCCAAAAACGATTGCACGCACTGCAACAACAAAATGTTCACGAACGAATAATCAAACTAAAACCCTAAATCCTAACAAAGATGTAATAGAAAACACTGCATATGTTTTGAGGACTTTGAATATAACCTCCATTAACAATGAAGTTCATGAGATGGAAAACTTTCTGTGTCGTCCAACCATATTCCGGAACTCTCAATTCAATCCTTATCAATTGTATCTGCACATTACAAACACCAAAAATTACATACGAACTAATCCCGTAGCCTAACACTGAACAATTTTCTAGAAACTGAAATCATTAACAATAAAACATGGAGTGAAATAAACATTTAAAAAAAAAAGCTTTGATTGTATATAAATTATTTACCCAAGGGCATTTAAGTCAAAATAAATTAACAAATAGTTGCAGGAGAAAATAGAGAGTCCATACTACTCACTAGGTAACCAAACTAAGTCAGTCCGAATCCAAATTTTACTGGAAAGTATTAACATAAAAATAAAAATAAACAAACAAATCTTCTAATCAGCACTGATCGAAGCAGAAAACGAAAATAAAAAAAATCGAACAATCAAATAAAAACTCAAAAAAATTGAAGGGAAGAAGAGAAAAATGACCAGGGCAACGAAGGAAACTAGGGCATAAGCGGCGCAGAGAGTGTAGAAGATGCCATCCTGCCACTTAGTGGACTCATTGACCTCGTCCCACCAATCGGACAGCAGAACAGGAAGCTCCAAAGGCATCAGTGGCATTTGTATCATTCTAACCATTTTTCTTATTTCCCTGAGCTTTACCGGGAAAGTCAAAATCCCTCGGGCAGACAGAAGTGGAAGAAAACAAAACAAAATAGCTGAAAGAGAGGAGAAATTTTGAAAAGCCGAGGACGCGAAAGAAAATAATACAACCGTGTGAGCCGTGTGAGTGACACGTATAGGAAGAAAAAGAAATTTTCTCTCTCTTCTGCACCAGACGGTCCGAAACGATGGACCTAATATCTAAGTTGGGTAATTAAGTAGAGGAAAGCCCTTTTGTTTTGTTTTCTTTTCTGTGCCGCTCCTTCCCCTTCTCGACTCCACCTAAGCTTCTACGAGTTCGTGGTAGTTGTAAACTTGTAATTTCAAATTTTCCTTTTTCTTTTGTTTCTTTTTCTTCTTTCCTGACGTATTTATGCTTCAAATGGGGCAAGCCAAAATAAATAAATAAAACAAATCAATGATTCAGTTGAAAGTGATTTCAATATGAATTAACATAATAGTTCAGAATCTATATAATAAAAATTTTAGTATTTAAAATTAATAAAATATTAAACAAACTTATTCTATTACCTAAATTTAAAATGTCTAAAATTATTTCTTGTTTTTTTTTGTATTTTTCTATACTAGGTTAGTTTTGGAATTTTTTTATATAAATCTTAAATTTAATTTTAGTTATAGAAAGAAAAGAAAAATTTCAAGAGAATGAATTAGAATGTTTTTAGTGGATTTAAAACCTATGGCCTAAGAGAATATGAGACAACATGAATGAATAGTTTGATCAATCGACCAAATACGTTTATTCGATTAAATTCAGAGAATAAATGTCAGTAAAATAATAATTAAAATAATTTCTATTGAATATAAAATAATAAAATCAATAACAATTCAAGCTCGTAATCAATCAATGTTATTTTAAAGTTTAATATGTATATCATTCTCATTCTAATCATACCTAATAGAAATTCAAATTATGTTACTATACAGATACATTAATAAACAATTTTGTTATATTAAAAATTAATTTTTTTAATAGATAAATTGAATATCGAATATCTATGTGTTGTGCAAGTGAGATTTTTTTAATAAAAAATCATTGAAATAATTTTTATGACAATATTTATAACTTTTCATAAATTGCAAATAATATAAATTAGTATGATTTTTTTTAACAGGAGAAAAAATTACGTGGAAAAACCTCTGCACGTTAATGAATAGTTTATTTTAGATATTATTTCCTTTCCTATTAAAAATATACTTTCATTTTTATTTTTTTTATAGTTTTTTTCCTGAATAATGAATTAACTTATTATTACAATAAATTAATTAAAAAATTGAAAATTGAACCTTAACTTTTTCTTTTGTTTTACACTGCTATTAGGAGTGTTTTGGCAATTTGGTATAATTGTTCATATAATTAGTATTTAATAGCATGGATAATTTAAATTATTAAATTCCAGATCATATATAATAATTTATTAGTAAAAGTGGCATGAATTATTTTATCTTTCATAGTTAAGGAGATCGTTGTTTTTAAATGTCGCAGGTTTAAGCACAATTAGCTCAAATAAAGTGATTGAATATTCATTGTGAAATAATTAAAATTATTTAATAAAATATATATTAATTTATAATTACATTAGTTTAATAAAAAAATAAAAGAGGTAAATTACACCAATCATGTGAAGTGAGTGAAGAAGAGGATCACATCCACATGTGTCGCATATGCTACATGTCGTACCGAGCAATTGGGACCCACAATCATGAGGGAGTTACTAAATGAACATCTGCCTCGATGATGACGTGTCCATGGCCCATGGTCGGTTTAGGCGGTGCCTCTTATGGAATTTTCCATTATAATAAACAAAAAACAAAGCTCTATTACGATTGATTTTTATCATATCTCCTTGACGTCTGTTCTTTTAATAACTTTTCGTTTTATATTAGATTAATTATAAATAGGATGAGATGTAGAAGAAGCAATTGCATAATAATTCGTGGTCGTAATAAAATAATGATCGTGCATAAACTAATAACAAAATCATATATCGCAGAATCTCTTAGGAATTCAACATGATTGTCGGTAGGAAAAGGAAAAAAAAAACCGATGGTCGTTATTTTATGAAGCCCTAGGCTTAATAAGCAGTAAATGGCTCCTTAACATCGAGTCGAGGTTAGCCAACTTAGAGGCTGGTTCCAACGTGGATTAAACATGAAAGTCATTCACATAGTTGCTAAGGATCTTTTTAATTAATTAGTTCATATCTGCAACTCACATTGCACAACACATATTTAGCCGGAGTTCGCTGCCGCCTCTTTACTTCTTCCTTTCCAGCCAATAATCAGTAACCAAAAACTGAGTCTTCAAAGCATACCAGCCGCAATCTGCTTTCCCTATTTAACCACGAAATGTTCAAAAGCTACTTTGTCCCTCCAACTCAAAACATGGTGAAATACTCAATTTCCTTCTCCAGAAGTGATCCTATAATTCCCCTTGTTCATATTATAACAGGAGCAGTTGCAGTTAGACCCAGTCAAGAGTTGGATTTTCTATATTCCATCTCAACTTGCTAGGTTGGAGAAACTACAGACAATATAGAAGAAAGTTGTGCAACATTTGCTAGTCGCCCCTTGGGATTTTCCACCCTATTAAAGACTACTTTTTAGATAGATAATTGCACAGAAGACAGGTATTGTATCTTGTGGATATTACATTGCTCGTGGTTGATTATAGACTTTTTTCTTATTATTTTATTTCCATTTTTGTTGGTATGATAAGTAGTATCTAGGTACTTACTTGACGTGTTGTATTTGCTAGGACCAAGGAGTACTGTTCTATCTCAGAGCTTCAACTCACTATATTCTATGAATTTATGTTTTTCCAAAACTAATAGATTAACTAATTAACAATGTACGAGTGTGTATAAGATTTAATTTAGCAAATGAATATTTGTTCACTTTGTTTATAGATTAACTCTAATATTCTGGTTTTAGAACAACAAGAGGAAAAGGTAAAGAAACTATATATTGCCCTCACAGCTGCTCCTGTACCAATTGGAATAATAACACACTATATGAGCACTGAATCAGAGTATGTCCTACTTTTCTGAGAAACCGCTTGAAATTTGTAGTCTTTCCTTGCAGCCAATAACGGCAGTAGCAAATTAGTAATAGCAGCATAGGCCATGTCCAATGAGCTAGCGCAAAAGCAACTTCCATCTATATTGGAACGGTTTAAGGCTCTATTGAAGCAACGGAAAGATGAGCTTGAGATTTCTGGTAGCAGTGGTGATGATCAGTTGGTGGCAACTCCGAGTACGTAAGAAATTGTTCAGCTTTACGAGTCAGTATTATCGACTTTCAATTCGAAGCCGGTAATTACTGATCTCACGATCATTCATGTGAACAGCGGAAGCATGACGAAGGCATTGCCAATATCCTGTGAACGAATTGTTGAGGTTATTTATTTATTTTTTTGTTTTCGTTGCAGCTGCCAAGGTATTTGAACATTTTAAAAGAGTAATTCCTATTTTATTGTTTTCGGGTTCCAGTAGAGCAGAAACTTCATTCGTTTTAATTAGATAGCATTGTCAAAAAACATTGGCCCAGAATATGTTAGGTATTTCTCTTCCTGTCTGGATGAATTCCTACAATATATAATTTTTGTTTTTGTTTCACATTGTGATATTCTGCAGGGTCACATGGCAGTTTCAATTTGCAGATGCTGTTTCCGGTTACAAAATGTCTCTTAGGCTCAACGGGAAAAGGGCTTAGCCTTGTACCATGAGTCTGAACTCAGCAAAAGAAAATATCATTGAATTCCCCAGATAAAAATCTTCGATTGCTGCCATTTGATTAACCCGAATTTAAACATCTTTCCTTTATATGCAGTTAGTGTCAAAATTTCACTGCATCATTTTCACAGACCAAGAAGAAAATTCTATTGTCCAAAGGTAACTACTTCCAAATAAACCTGTATTTGTAGTCAATAATAAATTGTCCTTTCACCCATAACATGAAAAAGAATAAGATTCCTATACAAACTTGTCGAATTCAATAATCTGAATTACCAAAACTTTCCACCGACATAACTTGGTACAACACGTCTAGTAGCACCGTTACTCATTGTAAACCAGAAACTTTCTTCTGCCATTAGATCAGTCGCTTCCTTAGAATTGGATCGTTTCTTCCACCCATTTGTAGATTAAATATGATTTTCTAATTTACACTAGCTTTTGGTTCAAACTCCAGCACTTTCTGATCTTCATGAAGATCTGACCATTGAAAGGAACTTCTATATCGATCCTCGATGAGTGGAAACCGAAAGTCAAATCTTGTTACATAAATGTATCACCTGGGAGAGCAGGTTGTCTTCTTTTTTCGCTTTTGTTTCTTAGGAATATTTGGGAGATCCGTGCAAGACAGGTTCCTCATCATCTCTGTTTCAGGTTGGCATCCCATGGATTGCTCAAAATCTGTAATTAAATAATGGAAGGTCTCATCAGAATATAGAAGACAACCATTAGAATTATTGCAGGGGACCACCAGAATGATTTTGTAGTTAGCACTAGTATCATATAGGGTTCCCCTTGATATGGCAGTTTTTGACCCGTGACAGAAGAGCCAGATGACCATATAATCTAAAAAGCTTTCTACATGTCTTGGGAACTTGGCTTAAATAAAATTGACATATATAATCCATTTCCCCTTGTCAATGTGACCCGTGAAATGTCCCTATTTTCTATTGTCTTACTCTTATTTAAGAATTGTCCACATGGTACCTGACAATGCATATTCTTGACTATTATTTTATTTCATTAAAATCATGCACGCATATTATCATTCTATCAAATATTCATCATATCAAAGAAAGGTAAATTGAGAAAAGAAAAAAAAAAACATGCCTTGAGAAGACCATGTAGGTATAGATTCTCTGGTGTTATCAATGGATGTTGCTGTGAAATCAGGATCTGTCTTGAATTCATTCATCTGCATGAAGTTTCGGGGCAAAGCAACAATTAGGAGATAAACACAAGGGACTCGTTTGAATGTTGAATCTAAATATTGAAGCAGACTAGAGATAGATAACATACCCAACTAGGTGCAGAGCCAGAAGGGCCATCCCAACCAATGTGAGCCACATGTTTAACATTTGTCGGATACCCAATTTCCATCTCTCGTTCCTTAACAACTACAACAACAAAACCCTTTCCTAGATCAGTTCCAAAGCAATCAGAACCCCAAGAAACATGCTCAAATACATACATACATGCTTACATATTTCATACATTTCTGGAATGTATAGAGGAAGAGACAGAAAGGACTCACCAAAGATTTGGGAAATGAACTTGAAACCTTTGTAGATCCCTTTCATCTTGGTAACCATGATGATGAACTAGGAACACAATTGAGCAGTCGGTTCAAAGAATGATTGAATGTTACAGGAACCTCTACATAAATGAGAAGATATTGTACATTTTCCTGCTGGAAAAGTAGCTGTAGTTAAGATGAGTTTTGTTGCTTTAACACCCCTTTTTCTTATATAATCACCAAAAACTCGAAAAACAAGACAAAAGGATAAAAGGTTGCAGCTACTTATCAGAGGAGTAATTACATGTGATCAGGAACTCTATTATTACCCGTGAAACTCGTTTGGTATATATACTTGGAAATAAAGTAAATTATGATGATAAATAGATGAAAGCTAGATCTTTTAGGTGTAAAAAATAAACAACTTTAATGTACCTACAAAATTCCCTCCACCTCCTCCAAGCATTGATGCAAGGTTCCATGCTTCATCTTGTTTGCCATCGCTTTTTTTAACAAATGGATAAATTAATTTGAAAAAGAAAAAGAGCAAAAAACACAAGACAGATGGAAACAAGCTCTTTTAAACGAAACAAGGAAGAGAAAAGTGAAGATGGCGGCTTCAAAAGAATGAAATAACGAGGGTTCTAAAGGGAATATTGGAAGAGACGGTGGAGGAGGGACACGAAATGAAAGTAATAAGATCCTCCCCAAGCGAAAGGTGAGATGAAAGACAAACAAAACAACAAAGAATCAAGTTAGGATATTAAAAAGTCGGGTGGTGGCTTTGTTAGTTTGGTCGAGAAGCACAAGATTGAGACTTGGGACAATATTTGTTGTTGGGAGTTGCAGAATGAATAGAATTCCTCTTCCCGTATAAAGGTTCTTCTGGGGTCTCACCACTAGTATATTAACAACTGATTTAATCTATTAAACATGAAATGACCATCCAGTTCAGTCGATAGAGTATAAGGTTTTTATATTTGGGGTCGAGTCTTATGGAGGACATTTCATAATTCGGAGGTATTCTACAGAAGCTGCTCTCAAACTGGCGTTGGGATAATCTACTATTCTACCTTTCTCTTATCCCATTACATATGAGAATAAGGGTCAGTTAATTTTTTTATTTTTGATTTAATCTATTAAACCTTCTAATATATTTCTGCCGTCAAATAACCTATCGTTAACTTAGAAAAATAAATAATTTTTTTCTGCAAATCTTTAATCAACATCTTCCATATCCAAATACAAATCTCGATTCTCTTTTAATCTTCTCTCAATCCTTTCTCCTTTTCTACAATTTTTGAGTTTTCGATCAATTCTCTTCTTTGGGACTTAATGACATCTTCCTATGGCTGTTATTTCACTGAATTTACTACCCATCGAAATTTGATTTCAGCCAACTGACGAGGAATTTGCTACTTACAGTCGGAGATAAACGGAAAAAAAAGGGATAGAGTCGAAATGATACTTGAAATCGATTTCTGGAAATGTGAGCAGTTGTTTGCAATTTCATGGAAACACTAGATTAAAATTACAATTTTTATTCAATAAACAATAGAATCAAGTTTGGTCGTTTTGCAGACTTGAATCTTTCCTTGAGAAGATGTCGTCCTAATACTTTCGAAAATCATGTTGCTCGAGAAAGGCCTATCCTTTGACATCTTAATTTATCAGCCTTTACAAAGTTGGTTTCTGTTGTATTTTTCAATTTAGTCTCAAGAAAGGATTCCAAAAACTTCCATCAACATTCCTTATAATGTCTTTTTCTTAACAAGATTAATAGTTATCAAGTTCAAAAGGTGGAAGTTGATGGGGTTCATGTAATGTTTAAGCCGAAGAATGAAGGGAATATTCAAGAGTGAAATTGATGGTGTTTATAATAGTGAGTTTTAAGATTCGGAATCATTATTGAGGAGCTTAGAGCCTACTAAGAGAATTGCATATACAGTCATATGTCCCAATGATATGAAGATTCCATATGAAAAGATGCTGAAAAATAATGTGGTGTTTGGGTCTCCTGATAAGTGGTCTAGTAGCCTTCCGATAACACGCATCAATAATAAGCTTTGGCGAGCATGTATTCGTTTGGGTACTTCCAATTCAGCAGGCAAAAGAAGAACCACTTTGGGTATCGGCTATTTATAGAAGATCAAAGTTCACATCTACGGACATCGATCTTAAGTATCACTTTGACCCATTTATCCATTTGTTTCGTTTATCTCCGACCGTAAGTAGCAAACTCCTCGTCAGTTGAGCGAAATCAAATTTCGATGGGTAGTAAATTCAGTGAAATAACAACCACGGTGCTCTTAAGTTGCGGGCAAAAAACCAGAAGAGAGTGGAGAAGGACAAAGATATATGTCTCATAATGTTTTTTTTTTGTTTAATCATCCGAACAAATTGTAAACTTTCCCGTTCTTGTTTTTCATCTTATTACTGCTATGCTAATTCTTCGAGGATTCAAAAAGGGAGAAATCAAAAGTCAAACACCAAAGAATCATTCCATTTTATCTAGTTCATTAACAGAAACGTATCTTTTCATAACTGTCAGGCAACTATCTATGATGGATATTTCGTGACACCCACACCACATGGATAACCATACCTTTTAAATATTTCTTGCATTTAGTCTGATTTTCAACAATGTCTTCCTCAGTTTGCTAAAAAAAAAGTTTATTTTTCTGAGGGGTCTTATTTGTAATATTCAATCTGCTTCTGAACAACATCATCTTGAAATTTGATACAGCTAAATTTTCTAAGTATGTTTTTGGATTAAGTGACTGGATTGTCACGACAATTAAATGACACATATCATTATCTTGTTTTTTTTAACTTTTATTTTTTTTAAAAAAATAAAAAATATTTAAAAGCACATATATTTTTAAAAAAAAATCTCCTCCCTCCTCTCCTTCGCCGTCGCCTCCCTCTCAATATCTCAGATTATTGGGATTAAATCCCAACTAAATCTTATAGCCATTAAATTTAGGATTGGAGATTTAGGGGTTTGGGGGCAAAGGCAACAACAAAGACCAGTTAATGGGTGAGTGAGGACAAGTAGATGACCCTTCGACGACGGAGATGATGACTGGAGATAGTCGACAACGTCCGAAAACGAATTTGAAATTAAGAATTTTAAAGGTTTATGTTTTTTTTTATAATTCTAAAGAAATATGAGATTTTAAATAAATTATAAATTATAAATTTATACTTTAAATTTTATAAGTTTGACATGTGTCAGATTGTTGTACTTTTTAACGATGATTACAATTCAAACACCTAAAAATATAATATTGAAAATATTAAACACTTAAAAGTGTATAAGAGAAAATATTAAACACATTTTTAATTAAAAAAAACTTTAGATATATAAAATTAATTTTAAGTATAATTTAAACACATAATTTTAAATTAAGTATTCTTTAAAGGCCACCTCATTAGATTTCAATCAGTCTAAGACCCCTCTTGTAGAAGCTCAACAGTGAATTTTTCTCTCTTCGGCACTAGTAATGACATGAAAGCCTGGCCATTTTTTTCGATGTAGTATTGCATCACGATGGTTCATGAATAATGGAGACTTTAACGGACTCAAGATGTGATATCATATTAAGTGTATGTTTGATTCACGGAATGTAAAATTATCAGTGGGGATAAAAGATTACCAGGTAATAGGATTACTGAGAATGTTACACTACTGTGTTTGGTTGGTTTGGCAGGAATGTAAGATTACAGTATTTGGTTGAAGGAATAAAAGATTACTAGAATGTATATTTTACCAAATTGTCCTTGTTCTATATTTTTTTAACAAGTAAAATTCTAAATATTTAAATAAAAATTATTTATATAAAAATTCTATCTGTTGATAATATATTACTTGAGTATTTAAATATATAATGTATTATTTTAATTTTAATTAATATTAAATTTTACATAATTTATGTAAAAATATATTAAAATTTTACATCAACATTTAACTAAATGTTTACGTTGTGGAAATTAGATTCGGTTCATACGTGACGCATTCAATGAGAGGTTTCTTGTATATTTCAATCGACAAGGTTTACATTCTTATATATAAAATAATTTATCATAGATATTCATAATAATAAAAAGTTGTAAATTATTTTTGTTATCTAAGATATAATATTTATTATATCTTCTATGTATAATAATTTATTTATTCATCTTTTATATTTATACTTAATTCTACATACTTTATCATTATTATTTATCTCATGAATTTATATTACGATCTTTCTTGCAAAATCAAATCCTTTGCAAGCAGATAAGGAGGCATTTCACCATCCATTACAAATCTCAAAGTTGGTGGAAAAATCAAGTTGCCCCTTGCTTCAAAATTGGTTCGCACTCTACTAACAATGCTTTCTAATCACAGCTGGCTTTATCTTAAGATTCATTCTACTGTCTTAAAATTTGAGTAAAAGTGTAAAGAACCAGTCACTGGGAAAACGGAAGCAGAACAAAGGGGAGAGCTAGAATATCCCTCATAGTGTAAAGGCCCACAGAACTCTCCTAAAGACTCAAAAAGCACAATCAATCTTATGTGATTTAATCATCCCAATAAAGGATTCTTACAAATATTTTTATTGAATATGTCTCATATGATAAAAACCAAATGGATCGGCTAAACATTGAAGCATAAAACATATAATGGAAATCAATGTTTGGAATTTGTTCTATTTGTAACAATCATTCAAGAAGAGAATTCCATAAAATATTATACCGAAGAATAGCTATAGGAAACATGAAGTTAGTGTATTCAGTCAAAGATTTTAGATGCTTGAGTGGTTATTATATGCCAACTTATGAACGTATTTAAACAAGGCATGCAGAGAAGAACAATAGTTAAAAAGGTGGGTTTTAAAAAACTAAGGAGCACATCTTGGAGGGAATATGCAATAGAATATACCAGCTCCGGCAGTGCAGGTGTGAGAATCTCTCCTTGGTAAAACCTGAAGGTAGAGATAAAAGATAATACCAGCTCCAAAGCCTGGCGCATGAATTGAAGTTTTGCATTTCAGTAGTTATGGTAGTTTGGCATACTCCTTTATAATCAACAATGTCACCATACAAATAAACAAATCAAATAAATTCCCTGATAATTAAACCCTCATTCACTAATATTCCCCATACCAAGATTCCACCTCTGAACCCCAAGCAAGGCAGCAGGCATCCAACTTCCACTGTACCATATATCAAATACTTCCAATATCCATTACCGATAAGTTACGACACACATGAAAGCAATAACTGTTAACTATCAAAGACAAGGTTTTTACTACATAACAAAAACTATCAAAAGTAATTAACATATTCGAAAACAAGCACATTACTTACAAGTCATATACTACATAACAAAAAGAAGTATAACATTAACCATAAAAAGTTTGTACGATGTTCAGACTTACAAAAGATAATAGTCATGACATTCTAAACGTAATCATATATGTTGGCTATATTAAATACACATAAAATTCTTCAAGTCAAAAGATTGACATATACTTGGCTAAGCTACACAAAAAAGTTGAGACCATATTCTAAAGTCATAATCAAAAAGAGATCGACATAATTGTAGAAGGACGACAGTCAAAATGATGGTCTAAATTGACGGCATTCAACCATTGCTTAATAACATAATCTTGCTTGAATTCTTTTGGAAAAGAAAAGAAGAAATCTACCTTGTGCGCATCTTTGCTAATATACTCTCTTGCAGTAAGCATTTCATCAGTGGACAGGCCTTCAATTTTCATGATTTCAGTGAAAATCAACATTCTTCGATCATTTCATTCTACCTCATTTTTCAATAAAGAAGTAATATCC